GTTTTTTTCACGACGGTCTTGAACTTCTGCTTGAGTGAGCAGGCAAATGGGCGGTTGGCTGGAGACAACAAATGGAGGCGCCGAGGTCAGTGGCAAACCTGAAAGAAATAACGGATTAGTCCTTCTAATGTAGGCATTATTTTTTTTTCTTAAAAAAAAGAAAAAAGAAAAAAGAAATACTTATGCTAACCATTCGAGCAAATGAAATTAGTAATATTATCCGCGAACATATTGAGCAATATAATAGAAAAGTAAAGGTTTTAAATACCGGTATTGTACTTCAAGTAGGCGACGGCATTGCTCGTATTTACGGTCTTGATGAAGTAATATGATAGGTATCAGTATAAAGTATTGAAAACAAAGGAAATGGAAGTGACAAATAAGAAACAGACAAAGTTATATCCCGCTTTCTCATTGATGCTGTAGTAATTTATACAAAAGTTTGGTAGGGCCAGCCTGTAGGCTGCCACATAAGAAAAGGTAAACAGCTAATCCATAAGGACAGAATGGCTAAAGTAACTTTTGAGGAAAGCCTAACGACAACGGATAGTGACTAGGCGAGTAGTGATCCGTCCATGAGGATCAGGGGTTTCATCATGTATGCTCCTATACAAGTCCTTAAACAAACTTCCCTAAACGATGATAAAAATGCTTACCATACCAATGTAAGAATTTGTGCACAAACTTAGTTGCATCATCGGTGTCCGTACATCTTCATGTATTTATAATATTTGCTTAACATAAAATACGATATGTGTGTGTATAGAGTAGTTTTCTCCTTTGAATTGACGAGTTCTAAAATTCCAGATTAGTCATTTTCAACCATATCTGGCGAATGCTCTATTATTTAGAGGTTATATATCAACATCAATGACAAAATAGAATTCAAACTTTCTCATTTGTTTTTCTTTGTAGTCCTTGCACGCTTCTCAATCAAATTAAATTACAGATAACATACATCTCCACTGCACGTGAGTTTCTTTATTTATTTATTTATAATATATAAAATAATTAAAAAATAAAGATTATAAACAAATTTTATTTGAAGCTTGAGTTATATTTATTGCTTGCCTTCTTCTTAATTTCTGTATTTTTTTTTCCAAATAACTGAGTAAGTACCTACTTAGTTTTCAAATTGAATACAAGGGCAAATTTAGCATAGACATAATGTTGTATCATCTGGTCAACAAATTACATCCATGCATATTCTTATGGCATTATCAACGGACGTCATGGCCTACGCATCAAATGATGCTATCTGATGTTTAATTACGTGACCCCAACCATAATATCTAGGCTGCTAATTAAGCTAACCATTGTTGTGAATTAATTGGTGCTTCCTTAATTTTGATTACTTTTTTCTAATCAAAGTAATGAACCATAAATTTGAAGTTAAATCCAGCAAGTAGCATGCGTACGTCGAGGTTAATTTCATTTTAATTAATCTTGAAGTTAAACTAGGGCGACATGAATTGCATGCATGTCTCTCTGCACATTCACGTCCAAAATGAAATTCTTACTAGGCATCCCTAGTCACTTATACATCGTTATTTATCTGGTATTTTATTTATTTAAAGGATCATCGTTAGCACTTTTCATTATAACAACAGTGCTCAGATCATGAAATTTGTAAATGTGTACATGTGAATTGCTTTTAAAAAAATACATGAGATTGAGACTCTGAGCTAAATTTCAATGAAAACCGAATCATTTGGTGAGCAAAATTTATATGAACAATGGTCAAGTACTTTTATTACTTGACTACAAGCTAATTGGTCATTATAACTAGAGAAGCTTCCGGATAGGGCTTTGATTATTTCCAGTCAAGCTTTCAGAACCTTCAGAGAAATAGCGGTTTCAAATTTGAAATTTTTTTTCTTGTTGGAAAATATATTGCATTGAACAAATTTCATAAAAAGTGTATAATGTTAATGGATAATTATAATAGTTAATTCACAATTCAAAAGTGGCGATCAAGAATAAAAGTAGAATCTTAATTAAAAGATTCGTGACCTAAATACAATCACTGGGTAAAAAAAAAAATACAAAATTACAGAAACAGATGCATAGCAATACACGACTTACTCTCAGTTTCAAATTTGAACTTTGAAGTTGTTGGGTTTTATTTATTTATTTATTTTTTGTCGAGAGCCAAAGATATTTGTTAAGGTAGTATTCTATAATTTATCCTAAACAACCCAAAAACCTCGAAGATTTTTAATTTTTAATTTAATCTGAAATATATTTTTATTTCTATTTTTGCATATATTGAAACTTTTGCCGCAATACTTTTATATGGAAAATGCTTGGTATGCCACATTTTTATACCAACATTTCTAATAGAGATGGGCCCCATTGTATTGGTGGGCTCCATCTCTATTAGAAAAGTGGTACACAATCACAATGTGATATAAAATTGTGATAAACCTAGCATTACCCCTTTTATATTATTCAAATCTGAACATGATGGAGACCCAACTCTGTCTCATCCCACCATACTCTTGACTGAGGCCTAAAAACTTTTCAAGGCTTTCACACGTTTGAAGTCATTCCTTCACTCTTGTGGAAAACAAATACCCGAGCCAGAACAAGTGCATTTTGACAAGAATTCTATAGTGAGGGCCTTATATAGCGCTCTTAGTTGATGTCATATTTTTTAATCGTTAAATCAAATTAGATCCAACGATTAAGATTCAAAATCTCACTTAAGGGTCATATATAAGACCCTTACTATAAAATGACTTTGATTCCAACTTTAATCAAAAGGCCCAAAACATGAGTTTGTTGATTAAGGACTCATAGCTGTCGAAAGCCCCAAAACTTGAGTTTGGTAGAAATCTAGTTAACTTTTCCGCCTTTTAGAATATAATGACGTATCAATTTGCAGGTGGTTGTTTGAGAACTTGAGATAATGGCTTGAAATGAGGGGGGAGGGGGTTGTGTGGTGTTTCGGGGATTGATCAAGTGGGTAGTTCATATAAATTGAGGTTGATGGCAGATATGGAATTGGTGTCTTTTTTTCTTTTTTTCTTTTTCTGTTTGATTTTAGATTGGAAGAATTAATAAATTACCATAATAGGTCCTCGTAATTCAAGTATTTAAGATTACTTATTCTTTTTTTTTGTTGGTTGGTAATAAGATTAGTTATTCTTTAATCCACAGCCCGCTCATAGTATACCATATATAACTATAATCATCTCAAATTGTATCACATTTGACTAATATCATATGAAGTTTATCTTTATTATTTAGCTAATCTAAACTTCTTCTTTTTTAGTACAAACGATAGTCTAAAATTGGAGAGAGATATTTCTCACACACACAATTTTTGTAGGTATTGGTGTACCTGCTAATAGGAATGAGACATGTGTAATAATTTATTTTTAGCCTTAAAATTGCAGTAACTTTTAACTCCATTAACATTTTGCTGCAATCTAGAATCTTTCCATTTTTTATTAATCAATTTTCAGTTTTTCAAACAAAACCCTAAAGATACAAATTTTCTCTGACAATAACCCTTTTGCTATCAGGGACAGCAACCTGCTTTACGTTTTCAGTTACTCTATCCATGGACAAAGAAAAAGGTGATGACTTGCACCCTATTCCCACATGTCTTTACTTTTTTTAGTTTTCAGGATTGTTCCATGAGTTTTGGTTTATTGGATTATTATATTGTGGTTTGAGTTACTTTTAAGTCAACATGTAGTATACATATATCATATTGGCTTTGCTCGAGATTCTTTGAACATTGGGGGTTGCCCCCCAAACATCAACTTATGCATATGTATTGGCTTTGCTCCATCATCGTCTTTTAATTTCTTTTTTTTTTTTTTTTTTTTTTTTTTTTTTTCTTGAGTGTTTCTTTACATTTTAAATTACTATTACAACATATTTGCACAGTATAATAAAAATATCATAGATCAATGGTCTGTGCAGCTTCGTTTGGATATATATATATATATATATTTTTTACTACTTCCTATAGTTATTATCATTGATATGTTATATTACCTTCTAATTTACTCAATTTATTGAATTTTTAAATTTATTTTTGTGTTATATGCTACAAAAATTATTTCTTCCTATATATAAATCATCTCACAAAAATTATTTCTTTCGTTGAATAATGTAGTCATTGATCTTGGAAGTAATGAAGAAAACTCCAAAAGCAAAGATCAAGAAAAAAAATCCAACATTTGGGAATCTTGAAGAATCTTCCGGTGAAAATTTGTATGGGAAGATTGTGTACAACGAGTAAGAAGCTTATGATCTCTATAATGAGTATGGTGCAAGCATTAGCCTTAGCATTTGAAGAAAACAAAAAAAAAGAAGACAAATATGGAGTTGTGAGATAACTTAATTTTGTGTGTTCAAAAACAAGTTTTAGAGAAGATAGTGACCCTTGTAAAGAAAAAGCAATTGATAGACTAGAGACCAGAACAGGGTGCAAAGCCAAAATTCGATTTTCATTGGAAGGTGATGTGTGGAGAGTTTCTACCTTTAATCCTGATCACAATCATAAGCTTGCAAGACCAGATGAAAGACAATTTTTGTGATCAAATCGTAAAATTTCATAATCTCATAAGGGTGTGATTAAAACCTTGGCGAGTGTAGGTATAAGAACTTCAAAGAAATATTGCTACAATTTTGTCAGTAGGGAAAAACTGAATCTACTTGAAGCAGGCGATGCTCAAAGCTTGATCAATCTTTTCAAGCACAAGCAATTTGAAGATCCAGTGTTCTTTTACATAGTGCAAGTAGATTAAGAGAACCGAATGACAAACTTTTTTTGGAGGGATGGAAGGTTCAGACTTGATTATGAGTGCTTTGGGGACGTGATCGTATTTGATATTACATATCGAACCAACAAGTACAACATGATTTGCGCTCCTTTTGTAGGGGTTAACCATCATTGGCATAATGTGTTATTTGGCTGTGCTTTTTTGTTGGATGAAAAGATTCCTACATTTTGGTGATTGTTTGAGGCATTCTTAGAATCCATGGGAAATCGAAAACCTGTAACCATTTATACTGATCAATGTCAAGCAATAGCACATGCCATCTCCACAGTTTTTCTTGGGACATGTCATCGTTTATGCACATGGCACATATCAAGAAATGCAACACTGAAGTTAGCAAGTTTCTATGCCATTCCGGAGTTTAAGAGGTTATTCAACAAGTGTCTTGAAGGAGGTGAGACAAAGTCTGAATTTGAGTGTACTTGGAATGAAATGATTTCAAAGTTTAACCTTGCAGATAACACATGGCTTAAGACCTTATATCAGCTTTGTGAAAAGTGGTGTCCAGTGTTTAGCCTAGATACTTTCACTGTCAGGATCAAAGCTTCTAAAAGAAGTGAGAGTATGGATAATGTTTTTTATTTATTTATCATATGTGTACTAAAACAATGAGGCTTACTGAACTTGTGCATCATTATGATAAACAAACAAATGGTATGCGGTGACGAGAGTTGGAAGAAACTTTTCAATACAATCAGGGATTACCTTACAGAGCTGCCATAAAAAGTGGACTTTTGCTTCATGCTTCTAATATCTACACCATAAAAAAAATTAAATTATTTGAAACTGAGGTTATTGATAATTTAGCGGTAAGAATGTGTCAAATTGGAAATGATGGAACACTCCAAACTTTTGAGCTTAAAGAGGAGGGTCGCAAAAGAGTGCATGTTGTCCAATTTAACTCTTTAAATTTCAATGTCTTATGTAGTTGCAAGATGTTTGAATCCATGTGTTTATTATATCGTCATGGTCTAAAGGTGTTGAATGTAAAAGAGGTTACTAAGATACCATCTTAGTACATATTGAAGTGGTGGACAAAAGAAGCAAAGAAAGGATGGGATGCAAATGAGCATGGAGAATCTTTACAAGTAAGTGACAAATCATCAGTGACTTTGCGTCCGAATAGTCTGATGCGAATGGCTTATGATATATTGAGTAAGGAAGCGAAGACAGATAACACTAATAGAATTGCAATGCAAAAATTGAAAGAAATGGAATAATTGATTGAAAAATATATGTTGAAGTCTAAACCAGTTGGAACTTCTAATGAAGAAAGCAATGGAGTATTGAAAGATAATACTCTTGTAGACACTAATAGAGTTAGCGGTTCGTATGATGAGACACCAGTGTTAGATCCCTCATGTGTGAGGCCAATAGGGATAAGTAACACCAGATTAAAACCTAGTTTTGAGAAACGAAAGAAGAAGACATCACTCTCAAGTAAGAATTTTTTTTATTGGTTATTATTCCATCAATCTCTTCTAATTTATTATTATTTATTGACTAGAAGAATAACTGTTTATTATTTGCTTATGTAGAAAAAATTAAACAACCAAGAAAAGGAGGTTCTTCACAAACCTCACTTCACGCGCCCAATTATTTAAGTATGACTTTGCCAACAACGAATGACCGTTTTCCTCCATCTAATCAGGTAATCTAATTTGTAAGTTTAAGACTTATCTTTGAGATTTCAATTCTTTGTTTAATTGCGTAATTGTTTTCTTATAGGATTCCAATTTTAGTTGGTCATTTAGTCAATCAAATGTTTCCTTCACCAATATGCTTTAGGATCAAAATTATTTGGCACATTTGAATCAAGATATCTTTTCCACTAGTTTTGAGCAACATCAAGATCCAAAGAAATAATGCATGTTGACAGAATGTTGGTTGGGTACTTCAAGGGAGAGGCTTTCTTGTTGTCCTATGTCATTAGAACTTTGAAATTGTGTATCAGATCATGTGAGACTTGTGTTTTTTTTTAATTTTATGTGAGACTATGTGTTTGTAAGATTATATTATAATTCCAGATATTATTATATGTCAAGTGTGTTTGTTTTTTTATAGATGAAAGATCTGTTTCAATCAAGTCAATAAAATTCTAACAAGACTTTCCCTTTTGAAGCCAGGCACTCGAAATTGTATGAATCACAAGAGTTTTCAATGAAAATTCTATTGGTGTTATGCACAAGACTCTACATTACAAATATGATGAACCCGTACACACAGACACCTGAGAGGCAGGCTATACACCCAAAATGCTGGGACAAAACTACAAAAGAATCATATGTTGATTCTAACATGACTTTTTACATAGTACTTTTGCCCTTCAACATCAACACCATAAACTAGAAATTCGTCTACATAGTTAGCAAGAAAATCCAATATTTCCTCATCAAGATACACATCAATGAACTTTTGCCATCTATCTATAACAATTGCATATTTGCCTTCCTGCAGATTAAAGTAAATGCACATTAAGGCCAACACGTAAAAGCCCAAGAAGTGAGGCAGTTGAAAATGCTCAGCGAGAAATTAAAAGCAACAAAATCACTTTAATAATGATTAGATATTGATAGTTCTGATTCTTAACATATGCAATTGTCTTAGAAAATTGTTAGTCTATTCATATCACATATCACAAAGAAGCCATATAAAAATTGCTCAAGAATCAAGTAAATAAAAAGTCTGCTTAGCCCTTAAAAAAAACATAAATAAGAACAAAGGAGGTTTAATTTTTGGCTGGCTTCCTACCCTCTTTATGCAGCTAAGGTTTAAAACAAGCCTATCTTTTCCAACAACAGAAACAAGGTCTTTAAGCCTTTCAAGGTCCATTTGCTCATTGTTGAATACATACTGTAAGTTTTAAAGATGTCATCAACTACAGAGATTAAAGTGAAACATCACACTCCCAAGGCACTCAAATTGCTTGACAATCTTATTTTGTGCAATAATATTGGGAAACTTATATTTTTGCAGAGCATTTATTTGATGTCAATCCTTCCAAGCCTACTGATGCTAAGTTTCGTTTTCTTTAAAAAAAATCCACACTCATTTCCAACCACTTAGTAAACTTAAATTATATTTGCACTAGAGCCAGTTGCATTTTATTGAAACTGAGAGAACAATCTAAAGAAGCACTTTGCATAAATTATTAAGGGGATAATTATTAGAAGACTACTTCCAATCATTTGAATGAAAAATTTGAACACATCAATAGAATCAACAATAACAAGAAAGCAACCATAGACCCATCAGGATAGGCATGCATAGCTTCAATAGCTGCAGCTTTGCTTAAAGAGTCAGCTCCAAGCATGATCGCATGACCACCTGTAAGGCCATCTTCATCATACATCTTTGCATTCTTCGTCGCTGACTTATCTGACACAAAATTAGAAACAAGAGTAGACCCATCCTCCTTCGAATCCGAAAGGGTAGACCCAACAATTTGTTTCACTTTCCCCTAAAACCAAATCAACATAACAAGTACAGAAAATCAACAAAACACAAAAACATGGGCTAAATACACACATATAAGAAGATGAGAAGACCAACAACCATACCACTATTGGAGCGAACCCCTAAGAACCCAAAACCAGTGTTCTCTCCAATCCCAAACCCAACACTTCCAAGCGCACCCAAAACCCCATCAACTCCTCACCCAACCCTCACTCTCTCCCCAACTTCTAACCACACCCACCTCCTCAACTTCCTCAAAACCCATATAAAAAACCTATCTCTCACACCCCAAACCCTCTTACATTTCCTCAAGTCCAAACCTAGAAACTGGAAATTATTAGAAACCGAGGAAAAAGAGGACCTTGATGGCTGTCGGAAGACTTGTGCTACAACTTCATCGTCCATGGTGACTTTTCGAGTCATACTAAGCACCATTTCAACCCCAATCTTCCTCAATTCTATCTTTTGTTTAGATTGTGCTTTGAATTTTAATAAGGGGGGAGTTCGATAAATTTGGAGAACAAAAGAGAGAATTGAGAAATAAAAAATGGGAAGACTCCTGATGCAACAAAAGCTTAACAGAGAGACAGAGTTAAGTCTAACGGAAGAATGCTAACGGAACAAAGAGTTAAAAGGCTAAAAATAAATTATTACACGTGTCTTATTCCTATTGGCGGGTACACCAGCCAGCTGGTATATTGGGTACCTACAAAATTTTCTCCAAAAAATTATGCCATGAGGGTTCGAGCATGAGATCTCTGATTTGCAAATCAATGTCCTTTTACACTGGACATTGGCAACTAATCCACACTTAATCTGCCACTAACATGGTTGTTTTTCTTTATTCGAAGTTTTAAACTTAGGAGAATTTATTGGCACTCCATTATTTGCTCTTTGCACCCCATACTAGTTTTAAACATGAATAACATATTTTATCATTGTACATAATTACCGTTAAGGACAAAAAACATTTAAAATAAAAATTAAATTTGCTCACTACACCCCACATATATTCTCGCAACCCTAGTTAGATTTTTTTTTCTCAAACCATCATGTTCCTACAATCCTAACGAGATTTATACTCTTATATTGGTGAAAAAACTATCTTGTATTTATTCATGAAGGGTGAAATTGAAGTTAGAGAGGCTTCGAATGAGGTATGAGTTTATTTTTTGGCGTTTTTCAAGTTTAGAATTTCATGATGGTCGCTGGTTGCATTTAGCACACCAGTACCGAATGCGATAAGTAAATTCGGTGGGATGCCACTGAAACATTGCACCTATTTCGATTGTGTTTGACTAGCCATCATGAAATGGTGTTTAGTGGTGTATTACCAAATTTTTACCTACAATTCAGTGGCAATGAACCGAAATATATTTATTTTTTCAATAACTTATTGTTGACCACAAATTTAATGCAAGCTACTTTGACCTTACTCCCATTGAAGGAACAAAAAGAAGGTGACGCCCATACTAAAGGCAATAATGTTGGAACATAATGTGTAATGGACTATAATGATCAATTCACAACTTATTTGGTAATTATTTTGAGTTTTTTGTGTGTGTTCGAAATCCTTTTTAATATCATTAACGTGGCATTAATGTTTCAAATTTTAACTTTAAATAACATGAGTTTAATGTGTAGATATTCAATGGTAGAGATGCATTAATTAAATGGACTCGTACACAAGGAAAAATAAATAATATTGTAATTGTAATTAGAAGGTTTGATTATGGAGCTGAGGGCAAGAGGAGACCTCGAGTAATACTTGCTTGTGAGAGGAAGCGATAACTATAAGTCTTGCAAGTCTAGTGAGACAACTAATGTAAGGTCAGATGCAAATGGTGATACCAAAAAGTGTGCTAGGGACACTGGTAGCAAGAAATGTGGATGAACATTCTTATTAAAAGGTGTCAATATTGGTGATGGGGATGATTGGAAGTTGGAGGTGGTTTGTGGAGTACACAACCATGATATTTCAGAGTATTTTCAAGGTCATTCATTTGTGAGGCAATTTTCCGAAGAGGAGAATGCCTTGTTCGTAGACATGTCTAAGAGTTTGGTGAAACCTAGAGATATTTTGGTCATCCTGAAAGATAGAGATGCAATGAATGTTTCAATTATGAAGACAATATACAATGCTAGGATCCAAAATAGAACCAAAGAATTCGTTGGGAGAACACAGATGCAATCTCTGTAATATCTTCAAAGTGATCTTGGGGAGCCGCTCTATGTCTCCTCTTTGAGGCTGGGGGACATTGTCTATCAGGTTGAGATGATGAAGTACCTATGTGAGTCATCTTCATATCTAAAAAACAATATTAAGTACAAACTCATCAACAAATTCGGTAGATGACCATTGAAACAAGAAACGAATTCAATAGACTACCACTGAAAAATGGAAATAAATTCGGTGGACAACACTGAAAAGCTGAAATAGATTCGGTGGACTACCACTGAAAAACATAAATACACTCAGTGGAGAGCCATTGAAAAACGAAAAAAAATTCAGTGGACTACTATTGAAACAAGGTAACGATTTCGGTGGTAACTCACCGAAAGTAACATCTATTTTCGTAAAACCCAGGTTCAAATTCGGTGGACTACCACTGAAACAATGCAACGATTTCGGTGGTAACCTACCGAAAGTAACATCTATTTTCGTAAAACCAGATTTGAACCATACATCCACAAAGTTGAAATCAAAATTGAAATCAAATCTCGACTTTTCGAACTTGAAATCAAACCTAGACTTAATCAACACGCAGAAACATAAATATAGAAATCGAAATTGAAATCAAACCTAAACCAGATTCGAACCATACATCCACAAAGTTGAAATCAAAATTGAAATCAAACATGGGCTTAATCAACACGCAGAAACATAAATATAGAAATCGAAATTGAAATTGAAATCCAACCTTGGCTTTTCAAAGGATTTTTGAGGTCAGATGGGTTTGTGAAAAGTGGAAAGATCAGCTGGTTGTGATAGGGGTTTATGATGGGGTTGGGGTTTCCTGTAATGGGGTTTGTGTTGGGGTGTGCGATGGCTCTGTTTCAAAAGGGATGGGGTATGCGATTGGGGTGGGGGTTTGCGATGGAGTCTATTGCAAATCGGATTGGGTGTGCAAGGGGGTGTGTCTACAAAATAAGGGAATTTTCGATGGGGTGGCGCAGTGGCAGATCCATAATTCAAAAGTCAAGTAGGCAAAACCTATCTTAAAAACTCGACGGTACAAGTGAATTTCATTCATAAAAATAAAAAGATACACCTAGTCGGGGGAACGTAATGAGCCTTACCCTCAAATATGCTTCTTTATAGATAAATAAAAGCTTAACAAAAACAAACTTAAACAAATAAATGCAATGCAACACAACACTAAACTATTTAAATCTAAAACTTTACCCCAAATGATAATTTATTCATAATTAACTAGAATACTCAATTTCAAATTAAAATTAAAATTAGGCTTAATATCACAAAACATCGCTAAGGTTTACGAAACTATCAGATTGCATCCTCTTTTTTTTGGTCATTCGTGGTCCTTAAGGTTAGTATGTGTGATCACAAATGGTCCCTACCGTTAGGTTCCGTAAAAAACTCCGTTAGTTTGCTGACGTGATATATATCAACAAACTAATGAAGTTTTTTTAAATAATTTAAAATTCATAAAATTTAAAAATGAAAAAACCATTTATAGAAGATTTTAACCTTGCGGACCATTTATGAACAATAAACCCTTGGTTTTTCATTTTTAAGTTTTATGAATTTTATATTATTTTTTTAAAACTCCATTAGTTTGTTGATGTGACATATATGTGGAACCCACATCTCCAATAATATAGTGTCATGTGTATTTAAAATACAATATATAATTTCAAATTCATAAAATATAAAAAAGAAAACCAAAATTGTATGAATTTTAAATTAAAAAATTTCGCTAGGACCATTTGTGATATGTGCATGAACCTCATGAATGTTTTGTGATATATATATGCCACGTCAGCAAACTAACGGAGTTTTTGACGGAACCTAACGGCAGGGACCATTTGTGATCACACATACTAACCTTGAGGACCACGAATGACACAAAAAAACGGTAAGGATGCAATCTGATAGTTTCGTAAACCTTAGGGACGTTTTGTGATATTAAGCCGTAAAATTAAGATGCATACATTTATTTTAAGAAAAACTCAATAGAAGAAGAGAATAAGAAGAATACTTGTTGCCTTCGATATGAGAAGATGTTGCTGCCAAGAGAGAAGTTTATGTCAAGAAGAAACTGCCAAGGAAAAGGATGTAGGATTGTCGACTATTACATAGCCGAAAAGGAATTGGTTGTTTATATTGCTTCACAAATTTTTTAAGTTTGAGTTGACCATAACGCATGTGTGTGTTGCTTTTAAGGTTTTTTTTATATTTTTTTTATGTGTTTGGATAGGGATTGGTTCACACCATCACATGGGCTAGGTAGGAATAGTTTTGCTTACATATAAGTTCTTTTTTTTTGTGTGAAAAAATTTGGGGTAGGTGGTTGCCTACCTTGCCCTTGCTGTGGGACCGCCCATGGGGTGAGTTTGATATGATATTGGGTGAGGTTTGATATGTGATGGGATTTACACAGATTAGTTAATGAATGGGGTTCATGAGGGTAATTTAGGAAGAAAAATGGGGTGTAGTGAGTAATTTTAAATTTTACTAAAATTCAATAAGGTGTAAAGAGAATGTGGGGTGCAAAGAGCAAATAATGGGGTGCCAATAAAATCACCATTTAAACTATAGTGGGAAAATTTATTTTATCAATTTTAGAATTAAAAAAATGTGATTATTTTGTAGAATCTCAACTTTTACTGTTCATGAATTTTTACCATGTGCAGTTTGTATATGTTTCATATAAAAGAGTCGGTCGAAGTATATCGCATGTGATATTAATTTATAAAAAGGTCGCGTCGCTCCAAATTAATTCATTATAGCACAATTAAATAAAACAGAAAAAAGGTGTTCTGATCGAGAAGGCAGCCGGACCAATTGTAAGAATTTCAACGCTTTGTCTCTTCTTTCACACTTCTTCCACACCCGCATCAACAAAACATTTGCATCGAACAATCAGAAATTTCGCCAACAAAGCATATCAAAATCCAAAATCCAAGAACTCCATTCGGTAAGAAGCTCTCTAAGCTACGCAACCCAACTAAACCCAAAGCGTTTACTTGTACGCCATAACAATTTTTCAACCAAGCCTCACTATCTATCCGTAATTTTCTCTACTGGTTTTGAATTTTCATCGACGTAGTCTTGGACTGTAATCAGATTGTTCAGTTCAGCCATGGATTCTTCTGTGAAATCGTTCCTGCTTGATGTTAGAGCTTTCGCGAATTCATTCTTGTCCGAATACGAGCCTCTGGTTCTGGTTTCTGCTCCTCTTATCGCACTC